CTGAGTGGTGCGACAGAAACAACCTGCTGCTTAACACCGAGAAGACCAAGGAGCTCATCGTGGACTACAGGAGGAATGCTGACCCACATCCACCCATCCACATTAAGGGGACGGCTGTGGAGCGTGTGAGCAGCTTCAAGTTCCTGGGAGTCCACATCTCCGAGGATCTCACCTGGACGACCAACTGCTCCAAGCTGGTCAAGAAGGCTCACCAGCGCCTCTTCTTCTTGAGGACTCTGAGGAAGAACCACCTGTCCTCAGACATCCTGGTGAACTTCTATCGCTGCACCATCGAGAGCATCCTGACCAACTGCATAACAGTCTGGTACGGGAACTGCTCTGCCTCGGACCGGAAGGCGTTGCAGAGGGTCGTGAAAACTGCCCAGCGCATCGCCGGAGCACCACTTCCTGCCATAAAAGACATCTACAGGAAGCGGTGTCTGAAAAGGGCTGGGAAAATCATCAAAGACCCCAGTCACCCATCACATGGACTCTTCACCCTCCTGCCCTCTGGGAGGCGCCACAGGAGCCTCCGGACTAAGACCACCAGGTACCGGAACAGCTTCTTCCCCACAGCTGTCAGACTCCTGAACTCTGCCTCCTGACAACTGACCCACGTTAAACTCATGGACTGAACATACACACACCCACAATGGACAACTGTACCCTCAAACACAATAATAACATGGACTGAACCACCACTCACAACCACTAGCACTTTATATAGCCTCTGTAGAAACTATCTACACCCTCACTTATCTTAACTGCACTACTGTATAGCTCTGTGTAAATAATCATTCTGTACATTCGATAATCTTTAATCCTACAACTGTTTACAACTTGCATAGTTCCCATTTCTGTATAGCTGTATATCCCAGATTCTGTAAAGTTATTTATTTCATATTCTGTATAGTTTTTCATATTTATATCCTGTTCATATCCTGTACATAGCTTGTACTCACTACAGCCTGTACATACTTATAGTTATAGAATATTCACAACATACTTCATACCGTGTACATTATAACATACCATAATAGACCCATTTCTGTAATATACTCACATATCTATATTATTGCTAATATATATTGTAATATATCTATATCACTAAAGCACTTCTGGATGGATGCAAACTGCATTTCGTTGCCCTGTACCTGTGCATGTGCAATGACAATAAAGTTGAATTCTATTCTATTCTATTCTATTAAATACACAAGAGAGTAAAAAGGGAATGGGAAACAGGAAGGAAACACAGTTGGGACTAATCTGATAAAACAAGACAGGGAGGAAACAAAACTGAAAACACTGAGCATGGGACACAAGACTGTCAAAGTAAAACAGGAAACAAGAGACATACACAAAGACGCAGACTTGACACAGTGACATGACTGACTAGGGAACCTGAAACATGGAGACATGAGTAACTAACCATGGAACACAGGGAAAGCACAGTGACAGAAAATTAAACACTAGGAATTATAAATATAACACAAGCAGAAAACAATAAAGAAAACATAAACCATGAAAAACAACAAATCAAAGAATATAACTTCATCTAAAAAACACAAAACACTGAGTCACAGACCCAGCACCATGACACAAATGTTTAGAACACACAGAAGAATTGCTTATCACAGCATTGCTCACTAAGACAACAATGCAGTGTTTTTTAAACTCTCAAAATATGATTGTGAATATTTTGATGTGGAAAGTGGGATTATCCCCATTAGCAGCATCTCCTCCTCTCTGGCGCACTGAGGATGAGGTTGATCACACAGTCTGATGTGCATATGCGCTGCATTTGTCACACTGTATTCACAAATGAGTCGCTCCATTGGACCTTAGGGTTACCAAATCTCACTTTAACCCCTGAACACAAGGATAACCTAATGAGGTCTTTGCCATCATTGATCGATAACCCCACCCATAGCCAACACCTTAACCCTGTGCTTTGGAGAAATGAAAGAAATATTTATTGTTGGAAATTTTTAATTTTTGATGCGAGTCACATAGAATAATTATTTTTATTGTCCCCTGATTACCAAAGACTTGACTTAGACCTCACAGAGTTAACCTAAGCGGCTGATCCTGCAAGTGGCAGTAATACTCCCGAGCTTGCCATTAGACAGTCCATACAGCAAGGGGCGCACTACGTTTCTCTTCACGTACAAATTGACCCCTGACCTCCTGTCGTCATCCGACCCTGAGTCTCACGTTTTCCTACTGTGACCTCAGACAGTCAGCACACTTCCGAGCTTTACCTTTAGCAGCAGGTAAAACCTCAGAAACACATTGTTCTGGCCGCAGTGACTCTCATTGTTCTGATTTAGTCGCGGATTTAACAGGAAGGAAAAAATGGCCGGAGTCGAGGAACTGTCCCCCGCTACGAGTTCGGTGTCTGTACGGCCCCCAGAGGACGAGATTGACGACGACGAAGATGAAGACGTAATTCCCTTATTATTCATGGGCTCTTGAAAAAAGATTGAATGAAAATGGGACTTTAGCAGTGTGTTGCACTGTTTTGTTTGCTGTGTTAGTTCCCCTGCCTAAATAGGGCAACACCAAAGCTAGCTAACTAGCTAGCTACCTACCTGAGGTATACGGTCTGTCTAACAATGCTGCAAGCTAAAAACCAGTTTCACTGTACACGAATGTATTTCATGTTCCCACTTAGATGTTAGCTAATTTTCCTGTATGTTCTTACTCATTAGAGATGCTTCTTTATTTTCTAATGCACGGCTCAAATGTTTGCTTTTTGTGGTCGTCCATAAGCTGGATGAGACGCTGATGGAGAGATTGTGGGGCCTGACTGAGATGTTTCCTGAAACGATGCGCACAGCTGCAGAGGTGTCTGCACACTGCTCAGTCTCATTGATTAAAAAGTTCTACAGGTATGTCTCTCCCCGTCTGTTGCTTTTCATTAGTAATTGCACGAATGTGTTTGTTAAGAGGCCACAGTAAAGGATATAACAGGTACAAATTCTTTGCTCGTGCCAATTAAGTCAACTCTTAACTTAAATCTGTTGGTTCAAGTATGCATTGGGTAAATGCTACAACATTATAAAGAATGGAAAAACACCAAATCACAGATTTACATATAGCAAAATGCAATATCCATCCATGGATTTTCTACAGCTTACAGGGTCTGGGGGTGAACTAATATTATTCCAGTCTTTGCATATTAGAGTCTAACTAAAAGGAGTATTAGAGTAACTAAAGGGTACCGTATAACACATTTTAAACTGCAGGTACTAATCAGGTTGGTGTTCTGTTACAGTTTTTCCCGCTCTGCGCTCTGGGTCGGCACTACCTCCTTCATGATCCTGGTGCTGCCTGTTGTGTTTGAGACAGAAAGACTACAGCTGGAGCAGCAGCAGCTACAACAGCAGAGACAGGTGAGTGTTATGGGGCACTTGAGCGTTAATTGGTAGTTGTTCAGGGGAAAAGCATTTACTGGGAAATTTCAGTGTGCAGCCTGAATAATCGATTCTTCCCCCTTTAGATCCTGTTGGGACCTAACACTGGAATGTCCGGTGGGATGCCGGGCATGATGCCTCCTGCACCCGGCAAGATGTGAGGGGGCAGGAAGGGCCGACAGGAGCCTGAGATCTGCTGTTGGAGAGGCAGCAGAGTCACTCGGAAGGAGAGACAAGAGAGAAGAGCGAAGACCTGAAGTTTAAAGAAAAAAAAGGCAGAGGCTGTATGTCAGCAGCGTTCAGCTCACTCCAGCAATATTGTGGAGGAGGATGTGATGTGTGTCCAACACTTCCCTCTCGCTGTCTCTCCTTACTCCCAGGATCATGCAGAGACTGATTTCCAGAAGCACAGCTTCTATTATTTTTCTTTTTTGGGTTCTTTTTTTTTTTTTTTTTTTTTTTTTTTTAAAAATACTTATATCAGCATAAATAATTTCTTCATAGGGGATATCAGTTGAAGTTGGATACAGTGAAAAGAGAAGTGTGGAGGTTAGCGGTGGTATAGCTCGGTGTTTGTAGTCAGAAGAATGGTACTCTCATTGGTAGTTCAGTTCATCTTCATATGCTTATTGGTTCCCCTTGCATGTGAAGAATGAAGTTAGAATATCTGATCATATGTGACAAGTTTTATTAAATTATAAGATTGGTGTCTACATTGACCACGTGCTGTGGTTCCGTCTTTGTCTCAGATCACCAGTGTACTATATGTGTATAGTATGTCAGAGTGTAATGCCTCTCGCTTTGAACTTTCCACAGTTATTGGTTTTATCGTGTCCTCCTGGTTAAATGACGCTGATGTGTCCAGTCTTAATTGAATGTAATTTAGTTTTCCTCTGTTGTCATTCATATGACAGTATTTTATAATCTCCACTGAGCAACCCCATGATTTTGTTTTGTGTTCAACATTACTGCCACAATTAAAACACCAAATCAAATAGAAAGCCTTGTGTCTACTTTCACCTTGTTTTTGTGTGTAAGATCAAATATTTTGAGGTGTTTGTCAAATGTATTAAATAATCAACAAGAGGTATCGTTGAAATTATCGTCATTCATTTATTTTTGTAATCATAGAGTCTGTATTTATTTCACCACATTTTGATCATAAAGTCTTGATATTAGTTATTATTTACATGAGATATTTTAGCTTGTAAGAACCATCTAACAATACTGATTCTGACAATCAGTAACTTGTCTTCAGATAAAAAGTTCCATTGTCATAGAAAAATGTTTTTATTGTATACAAATGATTAGAAATTCAGAAGTTTAGAAAGTAGTATTTAGGACAATGCTGCATTCACGTGTTGTTTCCAAAGGATTAAGATAGGAATGTGTTCCAAAGATTTCGAGAGACATAACTCCTTCAGATATTTTATGGGGATATTTGTTTAAAGCCTTAACGTCCGATGATGTAATTGGGAACACTTAAACGCAACATTAATACTAACTATTGTTTGGTCACGTTCATTTAACTGGTCAAAATAGAAATTTCCGCTTGCACCTGAAGAGTCAGAAATTCCCGCCGGTGACAAAAGGCCAGTTTTGTCATGAACACAAAAAAGCTATCTTTTAAACTTTAGACACTATATTTGTTTTTCATCCATGAGCGTACTGTAGTTGGCGTCCGATAGCTAATAATCATACGATAATCTGACAGTCTTGTTTTGTAGTTTAACCTGTTTTTCTTTGTTTGTTTGTTTGCCTTGAAAGAGCGGTGTATGGTTAGCAAAGAGTTAGCTTGATTTTAGACTGGCTAAATATCTTAGCTGAGTAATCAAAATACCTTTCATCTTTAATTCTGACCTCATTCTGCATTAAAATGAAAGTTGCAGAGGATCAAGTTGTTGAAGATGATTCTAGTTTCCAGGATGATGAGGTAAGATTTGAGTATTATTTTATTCAGTGCGTGTTAATACTATAGTGTCCCTCTTTAAAGAGGAAAAAAATATGTTAAATGAAGATTTGCCTTAAGATAAAAAAAAACAATGTTTAAATAACTTAAAGTTTAAGCTATATTATATTTTGGTTACAAATATTGTATAAAGATAATACAGAAGAGTAGATTAAAACATTATGAAAAGCTATAATCTGCAGGCTTTTTAATGTTATATTTACTCTTGATCAGTTAGCTCATATAGATTTTTCCTCTGAACCTCACAGGAGTCTTTCTTCCAAGACATTGATCTCCTGCAGAAACATGGGATAGTGAGTAAACAGCTGAGCTCAAAATCACTCATCTAACAAAAAGCAATTTGAGTGTGTGAGCATCAATCTGACCCTCCTGCCATGTGATCACAGAACATGGCAGACATCAAAAAGCTGAAGTCAGTGGGCATCTGCACTGTTAAGGGGATCCAGATGACTACCCGCAAAGCTCTGTGTAACATCAAGGGCCTGTCAGAAGCAAAAGTGGAAAAAATCAAGGAAGCTGCTGGAAAATTGCTGGTAAGACACTGCGTTTTGAATCCTTAAATATCTGCTCTGTCCTGTTTATGTCTGTAGTGGGATCAAAACGTGACTGAAAAGACGATTTGTGTTATAGTTGATTCTCTTTATGTTGTAGAATGTCGGTTTCCAGACGGCTTTTGAATACAGCGCAAGGAGGAAGCAGGTGTTCCACGTCACAACTGGGAGCCAAGAGTTTGAGTTAAGTTTTCCTCATATTGGGCCTCATTCACAAACAGTGGACAAAACCTTGTGTACCCTATTTTCATTTTACACGCAAGTCCATCATTCATCAGTAGTTTCTCACCTGAATTCGTCCATACCTTAATTAAGAACTCCCTCAAACTATCTTTATGCATAAATTCTCGCCACTTGGATGAAGGCTAGAAGGTCACAAAAAATGTAAACAAACGTCTTTGTTTTTGGTATTAGTCCAAAAAGTCAGAGACAGAAAATTTGCTCATATTTATCATCCCTTTCTCAAGTCAGGAACCTTGAAATTATTTTGGAGAATGATCTTAGATTTGATAATCATATTCAGAAAATATTAAAACTTAAGATTGGTGAGAAATTGATCCATGCTTTTAGGTTAGCAAACAAGCAGGTTGAATTATTGTAACGCTCAATTTGCAGGAGTCTCCAGGTCATCAGTAGGACGAATCAGTTCTTATAGATGTGAAAATGTGACCCCACTATTGAAGTCACTTCATTGGCTTTCAGTGCTAGTTCATAAGCCTCTCTGTTGCTTGACCCCTCCAATGTGTCTTTGACTTACTAATTGTTTATAACCCGGTCAAACCTCTCACTGTGCTGAGGTTGCTTTGGTTACTGTGGTCCTGTTCTTTGGAACAAGCTGCCTGCTGACCAGAGGTCATATGCATCTGTGCCGACATTAAAAAAAAACCCTCAAAATGTTTTTGTTACATTAATTAGCGGTGCATGTGTGTTCTTTGTAAAGTTTAATTGAGCTTTTGTTGTAATTGAGCTTTTATTTTGTTTTCACTGCCTTAAAACCTACATAGGTTTTTATGTTTTTGTCTCCCGTGTTCATCAGACTGAGTTTAAGTATAATCAGTTGTGCTATTTAAACAAAAAAGTCATTGACATTGTTGAGCTGACAGATCAGACACTCCTCAGATCCTCACTCTTCTTCCTTTTGTGTGGTCTGTGTTCAGAGCACACATTCAGACTGCACATTTTCTTCCGTTAGGTTGTTCTGTTTGTTTTGTATAATTTTTTATGTCGAAACTTTTCCTTTTCTTACCCTAGAAGACTTCTTGTCTCAGGGGAGATAAAGTTCATCACTTTGTTTATTTGTTTAACCCGAAACCTCCCTTTTGTTATTAACCATTGTCCCTTCTCAGCTGACTCTTTTTAAAAGCTGTGCACTTTCTGGCTTCCTCCTCAGGCACTGTTTCAGTTCCTTCAGTCATAAATTATCCAGTTTTGTTTGTTTGTTTTTTTCAACTTCCCCGCAGTTCACGCAGATAACAGGTAGCGAGCGGTCGTCTACTGGCTCAGAATGCTTGTAGTTCAATAAAATACACACAGTTGTGAATCTCAGGGTTATTTTTCACTGAACTTTGTGCACGCAGTAATCACACTAGACTTTCTTCTTTGCTTCATAGCTTTAGCATATTAATAGATAAATTGGCAGTAACATGGAGGATATAGGAGGTTTTTGAGATTTATCAACAGCAGCGTTAGTATTGATTAAACCGATGATTTTACATGTATGTGAACTGTGTCTCTGCAGTAAATTGCTGGGTGGAGGTGTAGAGAGTATGGCGATCACAGAGGCCTTTGGAGGTGAGCAGACACCCCCCTGTAATGCGTTCCTCTCTGATGTTTTCTCATCTAAATTCATGAATACATTTCAAATTCATGAATTTACTCTCAGTATGTCTTCTTCTAGAGTTTCGCACAGGAAAAACCCAGCTGTCTCACACGCTCTGTGGTGAGTAAAGAATCTTTTTTGTTGGTTTTTAGCTTCCTGATACAGAGTAGTTTAAAACGCGTTCTTTGTCATTCAGTCACTGCTCAGTTGCCGGGCGAGGATGGATACTCGGGCGGAAAAGTAATCTTCATTGACACGGAGAACACCTTGTATCCTTGGAATGAGCACGGCACAAATATATACCAGCTGAAACGCTGCCATGTAACGCTGATGGTAATCTGCCTCCTATTTTCCTTGACTTGTACTTGTCTGATTTGAGTCGCCCGGACAGACTGAGAGACATCGCTGACAGGTTTAACGTGGACCATGATGCCGTGCTGGACAACGTGCTTTACGCCCGAGCCTACACTAGTACGAACATGCATTACAGTTGATTTAGACTGACTTTTTTAGAGCATTTTATAAAGAACTGAAAACTCTGCAGGTGAACACCAGATGGAGCTGTTGGACTTTGTAGCAGCCAAATTTCATGAAGAAGGAGGCGTGTTCAAGCTGTTGGTAAGCAAGAGAACTTTTCTTCTGATATTGGTTTTAGTCATCAACTCTGTAAATCTAATCAAGGTGGAGAACAACACCTAGAAACCGGGTTTCCCTGTTTCTCTGGCCTTTCACTCTGCTTGTGTGCTCGTCGTTGGTAGATTATCGACTCCATCATGGCTCTGTTCAGAGTGGACTTCTCTGGCAGAGGGGAGCTCGCTGAGCGGCAGCAGAAACTGGCCCAGATGCTTTCAAGGCTGCAGAAAATCTCTGAAGGTCTGAATCAGGATTCTCGGTTTTTGTGTGTAAATATTTATGCCATTAACACCTTATCTTTTACACGAACTGTTGGAAACAGAAGTTGCTGGTGGTTGACTGGAAATAGCACCCTGATCATTTTCCTCATATAGTAACCTTTATGTATAAGGAATGTCGGATAAACAATCATCAACATGGAGACAGAATGTTTTTAAAGCTTTGAGATGAGTGTTTCCACTGACTGTGAACTGACTGTGAAACAGTGCGCTAATTGGGCCAATGACTTGTGATTTGTAACTCCTTAGCCACAAAAAATCTTCCATTTTGACAGATGAGGACCAGAAGTTTTTTTGCACCTACAACTCTCACCATCTGGTGACCTTATATAGACTGTAGGTTTAAAGCACTTCCACTTTGGCTTCGTTTTTCCAACCTGGAAGCTAGGTCCTAGAGGTGGGAGTCACCAGGCACCCCATGATGCACGCTTAACAACTCATGAGCTGCTTAAGAGAATATTACATTGATCTTTCACTTTTGAGCTCAGCAGCTTTCTTGGTCTATAAGAATGTAACTAGAATACAACCAGCTGAGTCTGTGTTCATTGACAATGCCTCATTCAGACTGATTGCAGTCTGTTTGCATTCATGAGACAGCAACTATTTACAAACCTTCAACTATCTCTGTGGGTGATTGCGATTCTTAAACCGATGCTTGCGTTCAAACTTCACTGACTCTGATCTATGTTTTCGTCAGAGTACAACGTAGCTGTGTTTATTACCAACCAAATGACAGCTGATCCTGGAGCCGGAATGACGTAAGATAGCGCAGATTCCCTCATGCTTACAAATAGGAGGTTTTCTGATAAAAACGCCGTGTGAAACACTGCTGAGATGTTCTTAAGTTTCTCACCCATTTCAGGTTTCAAGCTGATCCCAAGAAGCCAATTGGTGGGCACATCCTGGCCCACGCTTCCACCACACGCATCAGCTTGAGGAAGGGGCGTGGGGAGATGAGAATCGCCAAGATATTTGACAGGTATTTAGCAGTTCAAGGGCAATTTTCATAGTGATCAGTTTAATTATTAATGACTTGGATCAAGTATAAGACATGATATGACACTGTAGTGACAAAGATGTGAACGTGAGCAAAGCGTGAAAAGTCTTAGATAAATGTTCTACACTCATCTGTCTCTTCGTGTTTGCTTCCAGTCCTGATATGCCTGAGAATGAGGCAACCTTTGCCATCTCTGCTGGAGGAGTTACTGATGCCAAAGATTGAAGTATAATAAAAGGAAAAGATGAGACTTGCATGTTAACACTGTTCCTTGCTAACCCGTCAACTTGTTAGTTATATTATTTATTTATTTATTTATTAATAGCTTCATTAACCTTGTGTAATTTGTTAAAGATTAAAGTCTGACATATAGTATTGTACTATTTGGTGGTGGTGTTGTTTCTGTTTGAGAGATTGTTATGAAATTAATAAAGAATAAAAATCCCTTTTCTGATGTTTCATACTTGGGTTTCATTTGGGGGGGGGGGGGCTGCAAGACTAATTGTACCCTGACTGTATACTTAGCGGGTTTGCAGGTGTCCGGTGCTGCCCTCTGGCGGTGTGCGAGGGACGTGCAGCTGCCGTGCACCACTTCTCGTCAGCTACGGGATCCATATGCTTGTCAAGGCAAGGCTTAACAAAGCAATGGGAACTTCACCGAGCGTGCTGCTAAGAGTCTAAAACACACCAGCAACTAAACCCGTATAAACGGAACCACAAAAATCATTCGCCTTGCCCGGTGGTGGGAAGCCTGTCAACTCTGGAAAAAGCAGCGATGGACACGAGAGACACAGCCCCGGATTCGTGGGAGCTGGAAGAGGATGCCGAGGCCCCTGCTGCCGCGGCGGGACTCCCAACCGCCTTCGCCGCCCTTAACGTCAACGCCAAGCCGTTTGTCCCCAACGTTAACGCCCCGGTGTTTGTACCAAGCTTCCTTCAAGCCAGCGCTGTGGAAATGCCGGCTTCAGATGGTAGGTTAAATTCCAGACAGCTGGCTGGAAGTTAGCTTAACTTGCTAGCTTGCTTGCTAGTCCAGCTAAGTTAGCCTTCCTGTGTGTAACTCGCTCTGCTGAACAGCACAGCATACCCTCTAACTCATCAACAAGTCGGCACAAGTGCGGCTGTGGTGCAATAGCTGATTCATGACGTAGTAGTTACGAATATGTGAGCCGCGGGCAATCTTTTCTAATGAGTAGTTACGAAAGTATTTTTTGTTTTCTTATCTTTAAGGTACCCCTGATCCAGCTGCCAGTATGGAGGTGTCAGAAACAGTCGGTACGCATCCACAGTGTACTCCAGTGCACTGCATGTTCACTTGGTTAAGTTACAGCTCTAGCTCAGGCTTCAGGGGGTAGATACAGGCTCAGGTGTGCAAGATTTAACATCCACGTTATAAGTATCACACCAGACCTCATGCAGTTTTTAAAGCTTGGATGCTCACTACTTGTAAGTAGTTACTGAGCCATATTTGGTTTTCTGTCATTGGTAGAAACCCACGTGCATGGGCCTAGGTAGAATGTGGTGCAACCTCACTCGCTCCTGCCCAAAATAGATCTCCTACTGGCACATGCCGTGATTCGTATGTGTCAAGAGCTGCCCGTCCAAGGCCCCGGCCTGCTCTGTGTCAGTGCACTGTGTTTGGTTACACCAGGAACATATTAACTTTGTTCTGGTGAGGCTTTATTTCCCTCATATTTGGCCTTTTGCCCGGATGTCATACACCTCTGCTTGAGTTATGGGGAACTCATTTTTGCTTTTCAAAGAGTGGCTGAGGCAGGGACACAAAACCAGATGACCGTGTAGTGTACATAAGGACAGATAAGTGAGCGAGCTCTGCAGTCACCTCCCTTAGTCCCATTGCCTGCAGACACATTCATGGAGATGGTTGCTGCAACATTTGTTCCTTCAGATGTCCCCGAACATGTCTCAAAATATAAGTACAGCTTGACGAGACAGCCTACAAAGTCAGCTGATTATAAATGAAGGGCGTGGAGAAGAAAATAGACATTGTACTCAACTGCTGGGCCGCATAATTTCATAGTGACGGAAACTGGAGGCTTATTTGTGTGTTGCCAAGGGAAGATGCTTCTTCTTCTGCAAGGCACAGCACATTTTCAGCGTCCTCTCGCTCCTGATTTATTTATTTTTGACGCGCTTGCGTTGCAGAACATTGCATTGATTTTGTCTTTATAAAGTGGGCAGACCATGGATATGTAGCAATAGGGTGCTTTTTAGGTTATTTAGAAAGTCCTGCAGCACATATTACAAAGCATGCTGAATTAAAGCAATAGACTATGCAGGAGATGTAGATAAATGGAGGTGAGGCCTGTCTTTGAAGTTGTTTGATTGAAATCTTTGTGCAAATGTGCTTGAAAAGATTTAAGTTTGCTAAAAGATCTGGCAAGATGTACATCAGCTTGACTGAAGCCCAGGATCTGCAATAAGTCAGTTGTCACTTTTGATTTTATTCCTATCATACAGCGTCTTTAAAGTTCCTCCCAGCAAATGAAAAGCAGCCCCCAAGTTGTCGGTGCGATGCCGGTTATTACAGCGGAGTTAGATAACTAGAAATGTGCAAAATGTGTGCTTCCAGCTCCAGTGGAGAATGGAAGCACAGAGGCAGACATGCCCACAGAGGAAGAGACGTGGGAGCAGAAGGAGGAGCCCGGGGGAGACGAAGGAGGTGGCGGACAGGAGGATCTGGGGTCTGGGGAGACCTGCGCGGAGGAGGGAGGCGCAGCAGGGAAAGAGGACGAGGAGATGATGGAGGAGGAAGAGGAGGAGATGCTCCTGCCCAAAGTGGCTCCGGCGCCACCAGACGCTCCTAAGAAAGAACACGTTAACGTGGTCTTCATTGGTCATGTTGGTGCGTTGCATTCGGTTGTGTTTCATCTAAGGCTGTTTATGCAAAGTTATGTTCACTAAAAAATTGGTTGTACTTGCCAGATGCCGGGAAATCGACGATCGGAGGACAGATCATGTGAGTGATCCATTTATTTTTAAATGTTTTGTGTTGTTTTTGATTCGTTTCTTTATGGAGTTGTTTTTAGCTCAACTAGCGATACAGGAGAATAAAAACACAGAGTTGAATCATCTGTTACAACAGCCGAAACCTGTGGCCGTCTCGGACGTGCGCTGGGCTGCACGTTTTGTTAACGTTTCCTCCCTTTGTGCCCTCATTGAAAGGTACTTAACTGGAATGGTGGACAAACGAACCCTGGAGAAATATGAAAGAGAAGCGAAAGAAAAAAACAGGGAGACATGGTGAGGGGCGTCGTGTTTTGACGGCATTTACCTTCTTTGTGCCGTACGCACCTTTTTGTAAAACATAAATGAATGCACGAGCGCGGTTGTTGCAGGTACCTGTCGTGGGCTCTGGATACAAATCAGGAGGAGAGAGACAAAGGGAAGACGGTCGAGGTTGGAAGAGCTTACTTCGAGACGGAGAAAAAACACTTCACCATCCTCGATGCCCCCGGACACAAGAGCTTTGTCCCCAACATGATCGGTGGGGCGTCACAAGCTGACCTAGCAGTCCTGGTGAGACAGATCTTTATCCCTGAACCTCAGAAACATATCACCCGGTTCTTTCACGGGTTGATTTAATATAAAAGGCGCTCTCTAAATATTTCTCTCTTGCCTTATTGGTTTTTGCCAGGTGATTTCGGCAAGAAAGGGCGAGTTTGAGACGGGATTCGAAAAGGGTGGGCAGACGCGGGAGCATGCCATGCTGGCTAAAACGGCAGGAGTTAAACATCTCATTGTCCTCATCAACAAGATGGATGACCCCACTGTCAACTGGAGCCTAGAAAGGTGATTTAAAATGGATAATTTGGGAATTTTAATGTTTATTTCGGACTTTATTTAAAAAAGAAAAACATGCAGTATCTCCAGGAAAGTGTTAGTATTAATTTTGGCATTTAAAGCATCACCAGTTGTGGTTAAGTGACTGATTTTATTTGTTCATTAATGATTCCAGTGTGATATTTATGTCAAACACAATGTTAAGAAATATTTTAATAATTTTTTTGTTTTCTTCTCGCAGGTATGAGGAGTGTAAGGAGAAGCTGGTGCCATTTCTAAAGAAGGTGGGCTTCAACCCTAAGAAGGACATCCACTTTATGCCTTGCTCTGGACTCACAGGTGCCAACCTCAAGGACCCTGTATCCGAATGCCCCTGGTACACGTAAGTCAGCTCTCTGAACGGCCCCTGAAGTCATCAGGCGTTGAACGCGTGAGCTCTTTCTGAGTATGTCACGCTTATTTATATTTCAGCGAATTCAAATATAGTTCTTGCAGTCTGTATTTCCTGCTCTATGACGAGTACAAAATGATGAGTGCCCGGCTCGGCCTATTATTTGCGTGCGAGAGTTTATTTAAAATGCACGCTAAGTGCTTTGCAGGAAGACAAATCAAAGAGAAAGACAACAAAGGGATAGATTACACAGATATGCAGATTAGTAGCTGACACAAAGCCTGTGAATAAATGTTATGTTTGGAGTGATAAAAGGGGAAGAAAGAAAGAATGAATATTTAAACACGTGGCTTTTTAAGAAAAAATAAAGTTAAGGGTACTACCGTAATTGTCGGGCTATAAGCCGCTACTTTTTGCACAAGCTTTGAACCCTGCGGCTTTTAGTCAGGTGCGGCTTTTCTATGGATTGTCCATGATTTTTGTCATATCGTAAGACGATTTGTTTTGTTTGTTCCGCTGTTGTACGGCACTACGTTGCCTGGCGGAAGGGCATGTGATCAGACACACAGTATCGGGGTTCAAGAGTGGTATGTTGGTCACATGTCCATCCGCCAGGCAACATAGTGCCGTACAAGTAGCTCGAAAAACAAACTTCAAAGTAGCGCTACACGTTCAGCGGGAGTCGTGGATGATGTGCGGCAATAAACTTGCGAAAAGCAAGTTATGCTCAACTCCACTGGTGGAATCTGACAGCGTGGAAAAGTGTGAAAACATCCATCCATCCACCTGAGCCTAAAAGGTAGTCTGAATCTATTTTTCTGGTGTGTAGGTTATTGTTATGTACTACATTTGTTACTCGTTTTTGAAGCACAGCACATGTTTCGTACTTGTAATTACCGCTACTTGTACATATACCTAAAAAGTTATGCAAATATGTACTCATAACTTGTTTTTCAAAATATTAATAAAAGAGATGTGTCTCCAAACAGCCATCTCTTTCCTGACAATTCGCTTTGTGCATATTCTCTTACATATGATAAGTCAACATTGAAACACCTGCGGCTTTTAGTCAGGTGCGGCTAATGTATGTACAAAACAGGATTTTCCCCTGATTTTAGCTTGTGCGGCTAATATTCAGGTGCGCTTTGTAGTCCGGGAAATACGGTAATTTAAATATGTGAGTGAATTAAAAAAATGAATAAATGAGCCGTCGAGTGAGGAGGATTCTTTGATTCTTTGTAATTATGGTG